GGGGGGGGGGGGAGGCATTGACGGAATAATTAATAAGCATCGCGCTAATTACCCGGCGACGGTGTTATTAATATTTTCTCCACACCTTCGCGGTAATACACCCCGGCCCCCGCGCCAACGCGACAATTAATCATTCCACACAAATGCATTTTCCGCACGTTTCTTTCTGCATCCGCGCGCGTCTCTCCCTCCTCGCGGCGGCATGCACGTTTCTTCAGGGAGAGAAATACTGTATACACAGCGTGTTCCGGCACGACGCGTCTTCAGAGTATATGTCGCATCTGTAATTAGGGGCAACGATCGACGTAAGAAGACACTTTTCACGTTCATTATATCGTATGTCCGCCTCGACGCGTCCGGCTCTATAAGGTAAAAACACCAATACCTGGGTGCTAATAATAATACTGGACTAATAATCTAATTCTGAACCTTCTTATTGTATTTTGGTCCTTATATAAATACAAATATTCTCTTCTTGACACGCGTAAGCGGAAGTAGTAAAATACATGCATACAAATCGAGTATTTAAACTTTTAACGGAGAGAGAATATTGTAGCAAAAATTAAAACATAATTTAGTAGTCCGGGAACAGACTGGTATTATTACAAAAATATTATAATAAAACAGTAAAACTGACTATAAACATGATAATTTTTATTACATTTATAATGATTTTTACTATGTTTATGATCACTTTTACTATATCTTATTATAATTTTTATTATAGTACCAATCTATTTTCGGAGTACGAAGACTGTATTGTAATTTTTACTACAATATTCTCTCCGCATATGTGCCGCTATCGGGCCCACCCTTTCAGACCCTATTTTTAGATTTCAAGAAATTTTCTAAGCAAGTATATTATATTGAATATATGTATATGTATTCTATATTGTGACAGTTTAAATATTCATAGAAACACCAAAGCAATAAGAATGACCAGAGTTGGATACTAATATTATTAGTATCTCCAGGCATTGGTACATTGGCGTCCGTTTCTGCGCGTGGCGCGCGTCACGGTATTCTTAGTGCGATGAACGGGAAATTTAGGGGCGGACAAGCGCGATCGATATCACAAGCGAAGCGCAGTCATTCCCGTTGCAACCGGATAACCGGTCGAGTCACTGAAAAATTCCATCTTCCCGCCCGGATATCCCGGGAGTCCTATCGGGAATAATCACCGAAAGGGAAGCAAAGAAAATTAGTTTCGACCGCTCGATCTGACTTCGGTATCGTTTACTCTACCACCACTACTACGACAACTCTACTATTCTGCTATATTTATAAATATATATATATATATATATACTACTACATTAGTACTACTAGTACCACTACTACCGGCACTACCACTACTGTGACCAACGAATTTCCGGATTGGGATTTACGCGACGGTTTTATCAACCGAGTATACTAGCATATTCAATTACTTGCTTCTTCCTCTATCTTTTTTTTTTTTTTATTTGTTCCAACTCGGAATGCTAGCTGAATGTAAATGTCGCCACGAATATTTTGCTGCTAGAAGAGATTTATCATTAATTCTCTGTTTCACCAACTAGAACTGACGAGCAAACCTTTTCGCGAGTTTCCGAGTTTGCCGGCGTGCTGTTGCTTTCATAACAAAGAGAAAGAGAGAGAGAGAGAGAGAGAGAGAAAGAGAGACTAATGGAAGTATTAATTATATAGAAAATTAGTTTCGAGCATTGTGTGTCGAACGAGAGTGAAAAGTTTACCAGTCTGTGCTGTCGAAGTAACGTCGAGTGAACTCAGCACGTTAGAAAATTTCATTGGAAAAATACACGCGCTGAAGGCGAACTCTCATTATTCGCCGAATGTGCCGACATTACATTATCCGAATTTCCGCAATAGATATATCAGTGATTTCTATCGTTCCGTTTAGTCGAAAGGGGG